GGTTCTGGCTCCTGCCATTCTGGGGAGCGACAGTCCGGTTCCTATTCCCCCGGCAAGTCAATAAGGAGTACAAGGATAACCCACGCTCCTCCCCATTAAGGTTGAGAGGCCCGAGTGAGCGGCATTGATTGCTTCCGTCAGGAAGGATATACCACCCCTCACCCCTGCCTAAATTAACCTGTTGCAACTAAGCTTTTTCTGTGTGGCATCTACATGGCCCTTCTGCCTCTGTGTGCTCCTCTCAGCTATGGGCTGTCGGTTACTGCATGTATCTCTAGAGCATTCTCTGTCCTCTGTTGGTCTCGCTGATGCCACCTGCATGCTGACGGTCTATTCTGCGCCGTACCACCGCATGTCCACCAAGGAAAGCTGATGGGGGGGGAACGGGTCCGGAAAATCCGCCGGAGATCGCAACGGCACTCTCTGGTCCACTTTAGTCCATTCGCTGAAGGAGATGCAGTAGTCCCTCTTGAAACCTGCCTGCTCTTGTCCCAGAGCCTGTCCCTCCTGTCCCTGTCCTTCACCACCCCGTTGGACATAAGCAATCCAACCCCCCTTTTCCCCCCCCAGCCAGTCTCTTGAGAATTGATTAATTGCCTGTTGGATGTCCTTCTTCCTGTGAAGCTTGTGTAACTGATTTTTTGTTTTCTGCCATCGTGAGAGGAGTTCCTGCTGTATGTACTGCTTGATTATTTCTGTTACTTCCTCTCCCTCCATGCGGACGCCCTCTATGGCGTGAGTGCCGCGCTTCCTCCAAAGTGCCCAGATTACAGCTCTCCTCCCAGTTTTGAACGTGTTGTTTTCAAAATCACTGTCTGTGGGGGAGGTCCAAGCTTCACACAGCAGCGCCCTCCAATCCCACGGCCAGTCGGAGCCTGTGTCAAGGAGGCGCCATATCCTGTCCCACCAGCGCCAAGTGAGGACCGCCCCTGGGCACAGCAGGAAAATGTGTTCGATAGTCTCCGGGATCTTTCGAGAGGGGAAGGCCATCTGGCAGGATTTGCACCAGGGGAGCGCCAGACCCTTCTGCTCCAGGGGCGTGCGGTCTATTAACCAGTTGTTTGTCGGAAGGCAGCGGTGCTCGATCTGCCACTGCAGCGACGCCAGTTTGGCGGGTGTGGAGCGTGTGGTTGCAAACCACCGGATCGGGCGGACTGACCCCCGGCTTATGTTCAAGTGGGCTATCCAGCGAGTTTTGACTAGTTCTTTTAGGTTCACCTTCAGCCTCAGCAGGCGGTAGGTCGCCTTTACCGATAGGGCGAGGAGGTTGGTTTGTGTTCTCCGTGTGGGTTTCCAGTGCCAATCCTCCGGGTCGAAGGCTAGTTCGACTAGAGGAGTGCCGGGACGATAGGCAATCCATTCGCGATCGTGTTCCAGTACCCGGATTCTATACAATTCTTCGTTCTTCCCCCACCTTTCCATGACCGGAGAGTGAGTGGTAAGGATGTTGTTTTTTCCTTTCCGAAAGAGTTTGACCCGGGATTCATCTGCCAGTGTTTCCACCACCCTCCCAACAGTCTGTGTGTCGCCCCGGATTGCAACCCAGTCCCCTTTCGCTGGCCGCGGGCCTTTACGGAGGGTGCGTACCCAGTCCAGGGGGATGTCGTAGATCAGGGTTTCAAGATTCTGTCAGTGGCAATACCTCAACTGACCCCTCAGTCGTTGTGCTGTCTTCCAGTACCGAGTCATCGTGTCCCATAAATCCTTAATCCTTAGTACGCCATTTCTAACCCAGCTGTTCCATGGGGGGGCTGAACTGCAGTGCACCCTACCGTTTTTGTCCGTAATGTTCCTGTTGCCAAAGAGGGGTTGTCTCATCACTTCTTCCCACCTGCTCGGCATAGATTTCTCCAGTAGCGGGAGTTGGCGCCAGGCTCTCAACACCCGGGGCCAGAAGTCGTCTTTGGCCAGGTCGGTCCTTGCTGCTCCTCGCGTGGAGTCTCTGTCAATGCGGAGGCGCCGGTTCCTATTCCCCCGGCAAGTGAAAATTGAATACAAAATAGTACCCACACACGCTTCCTTCCGTCTGGCCGAAGGAATCCTGACCAGGATTGATTGCTCCTGCTAAGGAGGATTGACTGTCAGCTTGCCCAGACCTCTCAGGCTTTGATTCAGAGCCTGTCGGATAACTCTTTGCACAACAAGAACCGCGAACGGGTCCGCTACACGCTATGTTGTTTCTCATTGTCCTTCTCTGTGTACCCTTTGAGTACTGTGGTTGATCGCAGTTCCGACCCTTCTGCCAGGTAGCCCGGTGGGGCCCAACCGTCATTGTGGTATAGCCTGGTGCCATTTCTTCCATCTCAATCTGTTGTCTACTATCGTAGCCACCTTGCCCTTTAGCAACCATTCTCTCTTGAATGTCTGCTTCCTGGTTGCTTGTCTTTCAGGTCTGTGTTGCATAGAGGTCGCTATTCTCCGCCATCTGCTCCTGAGTAGTAGAGACCACATTTCTTCCTTTGCCACCTCTGCTTTCTTGATTGTCCGGGTGCATCTGCGCTTCCATATTACCCACAGTGCCAATTTCCTAAGCAGGAGGAACCAGACTTCCCTGCTGCCCTTGATGTTGCTGGGAGTGTTAGATAGCAGTAA